AAAGATAAATAAAGTAAAGATTTTTTTTTAACGCCTTTAGGCGCATCCGTTATATGAGAAGAGCAACCATATTTGTACAGACCAATCGGCACTAGGTGGGTAATGTGGTCAGTATTACACCGGCAGTCTTTAATTCCCTATGATATATATCATGGTACCCATTTTAGGCTGGGTCGACCTGCGATGCCCCATACCATGATAAAAATCCACGCAGCCAGCAGTGGATTTTGATCGTGGTATGTTGGAATTACGAGTCAGACTTGCAACGCCTGAGCCACGGCTGCTATACCGACCATGTAGGTAACATACTCTGAATGATGTCATAAGAGGCGACTAAGGTAGCGGAAGCCTGGCTACTTCATCCTGTAAAAAACAACTGCAAAATCCAAATGGAAAGATAAACAATTTTACAAAACGATACAAGTGAGATGGTTGAAGTCAACAGCTTAAATGTTGTAATAAAGATTATTATTATTTTTGTGATTATTATTATACAGCATCACTAGTCGATGACTCCAAGTGTTAGTTGGTCTACATGTGTATTATCACTTCATCTCCTTCTCGTCTGCTTAGCATTCACCTGTTGTAAAATCTAGCTGATAGCTCTGGTTGTTCGTCCACTTCAGGACTTTTTTTTCAGAACTTCAGTTTTGCGCGCATATCCTTCTAACACTACTGGCTTGTTTGTATGCAGACATTTGTTTCCTTGCCCCTCGGACAGATACACCCCGGTTTCGAATGAAACGCCCCAAATTAGTCGTCGTTTACGACTTGATTTTAGTGGACAATGGGTCTATTCTTACGAAGTTTTTGTCATGCTGCTATTTGCAAGTCTCTCTGTATGGTCCAACCATTGCAATTTATTAGCCTTTATGATGCCAGGAACTGTTGCCGATTTAAACCGATTATGAATTTATTTTTTGCTTCTCACTCTTTATCTTCTGCTGTTTGCATCTATGACTAATCCAAAGATACATCTTAAGACCCTGTTCTAAATGAATTTTCAATAAGGAGCATTTTACTTTTTTTCCAGTTTTAACAGCCATATGAGACAACTGGTCTTATGATTGTTTTACTTCATGTGATCTCAATGTCACCAGATAAAGCATACATTAATACCACATTGTATTTTAGACTGCATTTCGTCTTTAAATATTTTGGAGCAGTTGCAGTATGCACCAAATTACCAGTAACTAGTATATTTTCGTTATTTTCATTTTCGTATTTTCTGTTTGTATGTGGCCGGAGTTTTTCTCCTTTTCCATTCTCCTTATTACTGAACGTGCTCTCTTATTTTTAGTGATAACTTGTTAATTTTTTTTAAAACTGATTCCTCTAAGTGAGGCAGTGTCTTCAATGTCACTAGTTCATTTTCTTCTTCTATATCTGTCTTCTGTAAAAGTAGAAGGAAAGAACACTTTTCTACGCCTTCAGGCGTATTGGGCATTTAGGGCTAGACCATACGGCACTTGGTTGGTAATGTGGTCAGTACGCCGGTGGCCTTTACTTCCCAGGACTCCATCTTGTACCCATTCAAGGCTGGGTCGATCTGAAAAGAAGAACGTCCGGTACATTCAGGACCAAAACCCAAGACCTTCTGATCCGCAGGCGAGCTTCTAGCCACTACACCACGGCGACTCCCCGTGGTCAGAGAGTGAGCAGAGTACCTCGAAGCAACGGAAGAGCTGGGGAGAAGGGAGGCATAAAGAGACCAAGACAGAAGTTACTGGACAGTTTGGCGCTGACATTAAAGAATATATGGATCATAAATGATTTTAAGCATACAAAGTAAAAAGTTTTGGACAAACATGATTACCAACGACACACGGCATGGAGTATGAAATGGATCAAAATCGTGTGTTGAGGTCGTGTTCGCCATTGGGAAGTAGGAAAAGAAGTTTTAAACAAAATAAAAAGTAACATAAATGAAAGTAGAGACTCAGTTTTGTTTCTTTCGTCAGTGTAAGAGAACCAGCGATGACCTGATTCAGGTCTCGTTTTTCGCGCCCCCTTTCACATTCTGGAAATTTCTGTTACATGAATACTTTATTAGTTGAACTTGATTGCGTATCCTTTACAGGACTTGCAGATCAAACCTCTGCAATATTGGCGGTTTGTGATTTTACTAGCATGTTCCGTCAAGTAGTTTACCATTGCTTTTTTTTTTTAAAACTTAAAGGTGGTCTCTCGATGCCATTGTTGAAATCAATGCACAGTGAGGTGCTTTATTAATATCCTACCCCAAACAGGGGAAATCCACAGGTCACCGAACAGTCTAATGTTTCAGGGGGTGGTAGATAGGCTGAATGCAGTCGTGAGACCTAGGTTGCATACAGTCGTGGGATCCAGGCTGCACTTTCTCATGGGACATAGGTGGGTTAGGGTTACGGCAAGTTCGATATGTTTTGGGGTAGTTGAAAGCATCAAAAAGCCGGGAAACCCAGTCTTACCACCCTCTAAAATGTTGGACTGTCCTGTGACGTCATCTGGGAGTAGGATATGAATAAAGTGGTCGTCTGCGGCCACATCTTCTTTAGCTGGATTTGATATAGGTATCTCAGACCCCGTTCGTGAACCTAAGCTACAGACCCGGACAGTGTATAAATACACAATGTGAAATTAAATAGTGTATAAATACACTATGAATACACTCAATGAATACACTCTATGAAAACACTCTATGAATACACTCTAATAATACATTATATGAATACACTATATGAATACACTATATGAATACACTATATGAATACACTATATGAATACACTATATAAATACACTATATGAATACACTATATGAATACACTATTAATACGCTCAATGAATACACTCTATGAATACACTCTATGAATACACTCTATGAATACACTCTATGAATACTCTATGAATACACTCTATGAATACACTCTATGAATACACTCTATGAATACACTATATGAAAACACTCTATGAATACAATCTATGAATACACTCTATAAATACTTTTATCATCAGATGCCGTTACAAAAAAGAACTACCAGTAACCAGCACACAGACAATACAAAAGAGCCAGACTCCTCCGGTTTTTCATATGGCCTCTTGTATGAAGACGATGATTAAAATGATGGAACACTGGACAACCATCATGTTAAAGCTGTCACTGTACGTGCTTTATCCATGTGGATAACATCAGTGTTTCTAATAAATGTTTCACATTGCCCAGAAAAAACCAGTGTGATAATTCATTTATTTTAAAATTCTTCATTCTTAAAGATGGTGTAAGATGGTGTCATTTCTCTTCAGCGTTTCTCCACCCGCGAACCGGCAACACAGGAAACATTGTTTCGCGGATCACCGTATAACTAATAATAAAAATATTTAAAATGAAACTGACGTATTTTTGTTAAATCATATGTCACATAGTTCAAGTATTCGGCGAATGCGACATCTTCTATTGGTTACAGGTTAGAGGCTAAAGGTTAGAGGTTAGAGCATTTATACAGCAATGTAAAGCCGGAATCATGTAGCCGGTCTATGATTACCTAGAAAAGTTTGACTGACCACCAGCAGTTCGTGACCATCGGGTTAAAAGAACAGTGAGATTGAGTAACATTTAACAGACACCGCTAAAGTGGTTGTCTACTTATCTCAGCCATCATTTACCATAATACATGTTTCATTTAAAATATGGAAAATCAAAAGTCGTTTGACATTACAAAATAAGAACATAGACAGAAACATGCATAAATAGGTAAAACGAAACTTTAAAAATAGAAGAAGAAATAACAAACAAGCATAATTTATGTATTAAAAGGATTATGGTAATAAATTCTCTATACAATGAAAATGAGCCAATGAATAGGGTACTAGAACAAAAAATAACAACATGGAAAATGCATTGTCTTCACGAGGTAACTATCAAAACTAGACCAGATTGGGTTTCGAATACCAGCATTAGAGAGAAAGTTGCAATAAGACCACGCCTGGATAATACTGACAGATAAAGAATGAAATGGTTCAATCAACTAGTGAGATGCAGTTAGACAAGACTACATACGAGACTTTTTACTGTAGAACATATGGGATGAAGGCGAAAGAAAGACCATGGAAGAGACCGAAAAAATGGTGTGGATGAAACTGCACAAAGATGAACAAATCCATCACTCAAACCACCCGAGAAGCGCAAGACAAATACAGAAAACCACGGCACTGGGCTACAACCTGGTATCAGTGAAACGACCACACACACACACACTCACACACACACACACACACACACACACACACACACACACACACAAAAGAACAAGAATGATAATAATAAATTATTCTATAACGACAATAAAGTGTAGCTATGAAAAAGTACGATAACCTCTAATATTCAGTGCAAGCTATAAACTCAAAAGTGACATGAACTAAAGTGAGAATAATGAAGACCGCACAGTCAGTTTCTGCAAGTTTTACTTGTAGATTGCGAAATCGCGAGATTGTGCACTGGTAAATAGAGAAAATCAGTAGAATCCATCAAACTGTAAAGTTTGGGCATGGATAATCTATAATCGGAGGTTGATTTTGGAATAGCCTCGTACATGTCCTGTATTACATAGCCCTAATGCCCCCCCCCCCCCCCCCCCACCCGCCCTCCCTCCCGACCCTCTTTTCCTTCTCTGAACAAAAAAAGTCATCGCTGCCTTTGCAACTTGTACTCGAACTTCACATCAGGGAAAAGCATACCAGGATGTAATCAGATCATGCTAAGATTCAACACGGCAAATGCTGACAGGCATGGAGTAGCTGCATTTTAGTACTGTTTCCTGCATAAGTTTGAGGTGTTTCACTATCGGCAAACGCCAACCAAGTGTCCAGAGCGATGTGTTTTGATGCAAAGCATGTGGTTCTCGGTACAGAATCGTTCGTATTATTTTTATTTAAAAAAAAAAAAAAAAAAGCGCTGTCCTGTTTAAGAGTTAATAAAGAGGTTCATACTCCTATACTTTCATTCTTTTCCTCTCCTTTACCCTTATTTTTTCCGTTTCGCTGTTTTAACTGCATTGACACACATGAAAATCCAGCCTAGGCATATGCAGGCGTAGGAGATGAAGACAAGAAGACCGAACTGGTGAGCATTAGGTATGATCACAACGAGGGCGTATTTTAGGAAATCCATCAGCTGGTTTAAGGAGCTCTGGAAACCATTGACAATCCCTCTTTGTTTGGGAGGCACATTCTCTAGAAACAGCTGGACAGTGGTCAGGTCGGCTGTCCATAAACCTGAAAAAAAAGTAATCATGTTAATTTTTGTTGTAAAAAGTTACAATGTTGGATTCATTTTGGATTGCGATCCAGTTCATAGATTCAAATTAAATTATTAGCTAAAAGTTGGATTAACCATGTTTTAGTTAACGAATTAAAACAGAACTGACATAACAGCCTTCGCGACATCCTCCCCCCTCCCGAACCACTGCGTCTCCCTGTCTTTTTCAGTAGCCAACGAAGCGTTCGACGAAGAGTTTAATACTTGGCAACTGATTAAAAGTACGACACATTTTCTGGTGCGCATTGGGCGTCATCCACATCCCCTGCCCACTTCTATCTGAATTAGTCTCGACAGGTATTGCTTACCGATGATCTTACCTGTCATCACGATGTTCTCCAGTGCCTCTCTTCATAACATCTTAGAAGAACACTGGCTGTCTCTTTATTATAGTGTCTGAACTTCCGATAAAGTGCAGCAGGGGAAGATCGTGGCCTCGCGTCATGAACCAGCTGTACATGAAGTAATAGACTGAAACAATCGTCGGCGAAGGATCTTTTTACTGAATGGTTGATTCCTGCTAACATGCTCCCCTGTGGAGTTCTTCTTATAGTAGTATTGAGTGTTTTAATTTCAATTGCCATTTCCAGTCAGTCGTTGTAGGTCACCTGTCTGTCCACAGTATCATAGCCTGCGCCTCAGACACCACAACTCCAGGTCTCCAAATTCTTCTCAATTTATGCTTATAAACAAACACAATGGTTAAAGAAAATTAGTTGCATATTCTTTAAAGGACGTTGCAAAATCAAACCCCAGCATTTTCTGGCTATTGTGGTTTTTTTAAAGACAAATTTACCTACCATAGTTTGCCACTGCCCCTTGACGGTCAGCTCTCGGTACCACTGTCGAAACCAACGCAAGACAAGCCGTCCGCTGCAGTGATCAAATCAAGCACCTCGGCATTACGAAACGCGTTCGCAGCGCCTAGGCCACAGACGCCGACAAACACAATGGCAGAGATACCAATTACCGCTGGAGGAAAAGTGAAATGTTTGTCTGATCAATACAGCTCATGGGTAGACAAAGTCTCAGGAATGGAGTTGCAGAGTTCTTGAAAGTAAAGCCATCAGACAAAATACTAACGTCTAAACCCTAGCTATTTATCTAGCGGCCCGCGGGCCAAATCTGGCCCACCAAGTCATTACAAGTGGCCCTCGGATCATCTACGAACAGCATCGTATTAATGGTCTCTTTATGCTGGGACTTGATCTGCTGGCCTGCGCCGATTTCTATTCTGCACCATTTTGGTCCCTGAGTAAACTTAGTTAAATGGTCCTGGTCTAGACCGTGTTTTTGTTTCAGTCGGTCGTCCAGCACACAATAATCCTAAACTGATTTAGCACGCGCAAATGAGTAAATTTTTTTTCAACAGTAGATTTAGTATACATTTGGGATTTTCATTAAGACAGGATGACAGACATGAAAACATACCAAATCGAGCCAAGACAATCCCAGCTAGCAGTACCCAGACTGAGATGTTGGAATCTGGGGCAGCACCATGCGACTTTCTGCCCACACACGTCATGGCGTCCGATGTTGTGTTAAAGTCTTCAAGTGTGATGTTATGCAAACCTTAAACAAATGTACAGAAAATATGTTAAATGTTCAGTGATTGAGAAGTCAGAAAACAAAATGTACACACACACACGTGCATGCACGCACGCACACGCACACACAGGTGCGCGCATATACACACGCATATATATCATAGGACCTAAAGGCCTGAAAGTGGTCCCACACTTACCTATTATACATGAAACACCACCGTTAATTAGACTCACGTCTTGCCATATCCAAAATAAACATACCATGGCTACACCTGAGAAATGTTCCATTATCATTTTCTATTTTATTCCCGGTTGACAGGTCAAAGGGACTGTCAGGTAACCACACAGATACAATACACAGAGTGAGGCAAAATACCTGAAATAGAAAGAAAAAAAAAAAAAAAAACGCGGCATAAATGACGGAACATTAAAAAGTTAACAAATATATTTTTGATCTCTTTTGAAAATAAGGCAAGAATTACACTATCTGATTTCAGTGTAAAGGTTATTGCTTTAAGTCATAAATATGGTTCTTGTGGGTACTAAAATAACACCATAAAACAAATAGAGTTGACATAACAATTACTGCAAAGTGAATTAGTGTCACAACTGTGTTAATCACAATGAGTTCCGAAAATTACATCACATCAGTTGAACTGACTAACCAGCTATTTTGTACTACAACAACAACTAAAACAGCAACAAACTGAACGTATACTGTAGTGTCCTATGATTTTAACGTGCTTTAAAATCCATGGTTTGAAAGTTTAGGTGATTTTGGGGGTTGGGATGGGGGGGGGGGGGGGGGGGGGGGGGGGGGTTTTGTAATGTAATTTTATCCTTGTCTATTTATTTTAACTTATGTTTTGACAAGTTCGCTTGCATTTCAACCCACTTCCTTTGGAGTTATCCAAGACAGAAACTCAATAGCTACACAGTAACTTGTGGATTAGTATAGTAAAGACGACGTGTAGGTTCTGGAAGCTCCGAACTGGGGAAAATAGATCCACTGTCCCATAAAAAGCATGCAGTGAACGGCGACTAATTAGGAGTTTGCTGAAATCGGATGTCGTAGACATAAATGCCAAAGATATCGCAGCCTAGCTGTAAACCAAAACCACAACAGAATGTGGCAACCGCTCTTTTAAGTGCGAAACACAAAAGAAGTTCAGTAAAATAAATAAAGGCGCAGGTTCCACGCCTTAAGGCGTCGTTAGCAAAAGTTGTTGGTCCCATTTGTTTGGACCACTACACACTCGACCAGCAGTAATAGCTTCCTTTACTATAAGACCGTTTCTTAGAACCCATTATTAACTGCAATGAAGGAATGTAACTACATCTGAATAGCAGGCTAAAAACGCCTAGAGGTTCACCACAATAGATGTGGACAGAGGAAGTGAAATAGACACTACAAAAACGCAGAGTGACATTTATTTAACCTCTCTCAGCTTTACAGCATAAGCTGTCAGTCAAAAGAAATGATGATGAAGAAGAAGAAGAAGAAGAAGAAGAAGAAGAAGAAGAAGAAGAAGAAGAAGAAGAAGAAGAAGAAGAAGAAGAAGAAGAAAGAGGAGGAGGAGAAGAAGGAAGAGGAGGAGGAGAAGAAGAAAAGGAGGAAGAAGAAGAAGAAGAAGAAGAAGAAGAAGAAGAAGAAGAAGAAGAAGAAGAAGAAGAAGAAGAAGAAGAAGAAGAAGAAGAAGAAGAAGAAGAAGAAGAAGAAGAAGAAGAAGAAGAAGAAGAAGAAGAAGAAGAAAAAGAAGAAGAAGACGAAAAAGAAGAAGAAGAAGGAGGAGGAGGAGGAGAAAAAGAAGAAGAAGAAGAGGAGGAGGAGGAAGAAGAAGAAGAAGAAGAAGAAGAAGAAGAAGAAGAAGAAGAAGAAGAAGAAGAAGAAGAAGAAGAAGAAGAAGAAGAAGAAGAAGAAGAAGAAGAAGAAGAAGAAGAAGAAGAAGAAGAAGAAAAAGAAGAAGAAGAAGAAGAAGAAGAAGAAGAAGAAGGATGAGGATGAGGAGGATGAATATAAAATGAAATGGAATAGCACACGCTGAAAAAAAAAAACAGTTGACCGACCGCAATTGAGATCACTCGTGAATGCCGTATGTGTGATCAGCAATATGAAAAAGATATAGATAAAGACTGTTAACTTCAATCAGCCTGGGATCACGGATAAGGGTTTTTCTTTTGTTGAAACACCCATTGTGGGAACTTGAACCCACAACAACTGATACACAGGCAAGTATGCTTGTCACTATGCTAAAGCAACTCCTAGGTTGCGAATTACAAAGACACGACATGGGTCCCTTCTCTAAGTGCAAACTAAAATAATAATAACAATGATAATAAAAATAATTATTATAAGTCTGAGGTATACCTGCAACCCCAAAGCCAGGACTCCAGACTTGGGTAGACCCAGTTTCTTTACAATGTAGGGGTATGTGAAAGTGGCCAGTAATTCCAAATCCAGCTCCTATACCCATCATAATCCCAAGTATTGATCCACTGAAACCCAGCATTGTTGCATAACCTGAAAATGTAAGTGTCAGGACAATATTATTTGGGTGGGGGGAGGCAGGACCTCCCCCCCCTCCCAACAAGCAAGCCCAAGAGTCGATTAAGGGGTGTATTCTTTGAATCGGGGAGCATCTGCCGGACTGAAGATGAACCAACAGTCTGCATATAAATAAGTCTGACATGTAAAAGGGATGTCCATGCACAAACTCAAGTACCAGAACAAGATTAAAGTCCAGGAGTGGACGAACAGTCAAAACTTTCCATCAGAGTTTAAAGCGGTGAACGCAAAGATGAAGAGAAGATTGTTTTCACTAATTATCTCACACAGAGAACAAATTACCTGCAACAGTACAATACAATTCATATTAACGGATTCCGCGTGAAAACGGGACAAAAATAATACATCAATCAATCCTCATCGCGCCAAGAGGCACATAAGGCAGATACAAACTGTCGCCACTCAATTCGATCCTGAGCAATCAATCCTCTCTATCTCCAGTTTTGTCCTTTAGTTCAGCCTCGAAGGCTCGCCTCCAAGTGCATCTGGGCCTGCCTCTTCCTTGCTGTCCTTGTGGTGTCCATTGCATTGCCTGTCTCAGCCGGCTCTCTTTCTTCATTCCAAGGACGTGTCCAGTCCACCCCTATCTAAGTTTTTTAATTTCCTAATTTTACATCTAATAATATATATATATAAATATAATAATACCAACAACAACAAAATGTTGTAGTTTAAAAAAAATTAGGCAATGTTTTTGCAAAATATTGCCTTATTATGCACAAAGCGTATTTGCAGAATTTCAACTGGAAAGCTAATCGGGTAATAGTGTAAAAATCGAACGCAAAGTTCTGCCCGGAGAAACACATTAACATGCATATACGTAAAAGCGAACTTAATAAAAGCTTATAAAATCAGCAGGATGACACCGTGGCTAGCTTAAGCTGGTCAGGATGACACCAAAAGAAATTTTAGACTGGATGGCGTCATGCTGTGAAGGAACATCTGTGCAACCAGTTATCGATAGTTCATGTGACAGAATGATGTGGGACAGGGGGGAAAATGACCAGCGCCACATGGCATCGACTTTAACAAGAAGAAGAACAAGCATTTCACTTACCAACAGTAATGTCATCAAATCCCAAAACAGTGAGATACAAACAGGCAAGCGCCAAGCCTGGCCACTTTGTGACGCAGCTGAAGTAAGTCCTCAGTCCCCGGTATAAGATGATGAAACTGGACGCCATCTGCATTAGTATACCCCCTGATTTGTTTGACACTGTCTCTGTTGTAGTCTTGACCGTACTTCTTCTGTCTGACAGAAACATAGACACATATTTACGGCAATGTTGTGCTGACAGTCTGTCAAAGTGAATCACCAGGGTATGAGACAGACCAACATCCCCCCTCCCCACACCTAAAACATTTGCTAGAAGATAAGTGGTCCCCTAACCATACATAGACGTTCTTCTTTTTTGTTTTTGTTTTTTTTGTTTTTTTCACTCGAAGATATGAATGCGTTGCGCCTGTTTACAACACAGCTGCCATATTTGCTCGTTTCGGCCGACACATCCGACTTCTGTAGGCATTTGATGCCTGAATTAGTCTTCCCGCGGATAGACGTTCTATTTTTAAGTGTTTATACATTTCAAATACATTATTTGTCATTAGCAACTTGTTTTTGTCAGGACTTTTTTTTCTAGCGGTACTCAGCGGTACGTAGTACCGACATCTTTTTGGGACATCATTTTTTCAGCGCTTAGGTAATTGACAATATGTGGTGAATACCGTCACCTTGTAGCTCTTTGTAATCCATCTCTTCGTAGACAGAAGATTTGTATGGCTGACATAATTAAAAGTCAGCAAGATGATAATCATTAGTACAGAGCCTTCCAAACTGTGCTGCAGCACACTGGTATTTCGGCTGTGGTGAGAAGTGTGTCGTGCAAACGTAAAGCTAGGTATGTATTCAGATCTCTTATAGTTTACCTCTGGTTTGTTTGTAAAGTAAAACACTGTGTAGCGAAATTATCGTGTAAATAGTGTGTCACTAACATGACAAATGTAAAAAGCACTACGTAGAGCCACTGTAAAGCTCAAGTGGCAATATTTAGGAAAGGTTGCTCTTTCTTGTCAGTTGTCCTGAAATTACATCATCCTCATAGCATAACAGGTAAGAAAAGTAAAGGACCCTTTTCCTAGCCTTCAGATATATTGGGCATATAGGACTGGACAGATATTTTATAGATCAATTGGAACTGTGTGGGTTTTGTGGTCCAACTGCCTTAACCTCTAGGACTTTACCTGGTACCCATTCAAATCTGGATTGACCTGGGAGCCAAAGTCCATTTTTGGAGAGAGAAAAAAGGTCCCGCTCCGTCAGGAGCTGAAACCATGCCATTTTAATCCTCAGTCGAACATATAGCCGCTACACCACGGCGGCTCCCAGCATAACAGGTATATATTTAAATGAATTTAGCCAAATGGTTAGCCGAATGTGTAACCATGGCAGACAACAGGGAGGCACTGGGGATGCACTGCAGCGAAAATAATTGATAGACGGGCTGACTGAATATTGTGCCAGTACAATTTTTATAGGAGCACTGGTGTATAACGGCTAGACGCTCGCATGCAGATCCGACAGTCGTGGGTTCAAAAATGACCACGGCTCTCAAGTTGACCCAGCCTTAAATAAGTTCCAGGGAAGCAAATGTGGCCGGTGTGATGTTTACCACATCACCCACCGAGTGGTGATTTGTTTATACAATACAGCTCTAGCATTATATGCCCAATACGCATACAGGCCCGGAAAAAGGTCCTTTACTTCACTTTTCAATACCTATATTTATAATCTCTGTGGCTAATTCGATGCAAACGCTTCGTAATGCCGGGATGCCGGGTTCGATCCCCGCTACTGGCCATACGCCTTGCGTTGGTTTCGAGAGTGGTATCAAGAAAGCCAACCGTCCAGAAAGAAATGGCAAACTACTAGACGTAAATTTGCCTAGAAAAATCATACAACAGCCAAGGGGCTGTTGGGGTTAGTTTTGCAACGTCCTGTAAAGGATACGCAACTAACCCAATATTTATAGTCACAGAGAAACATATGGCAATAGGTACAAAAATATGCTATTTTTATTTCGTCCCGATATCGCCCAGGTACATATGCATTTGCCAACACTATTTTTCACCTTGTCCACATGTTGCAGGGTCTGCAAAGCAAGGAATATTTACAACGTAAAATAGTCAGCATGTCGTAGTAGACATAAGGCATGTTGGTAAAAGGCTGGCTCTAGAATTCTTAGACAAAAAGATGGACGAATGGACGGATGGATAGACTTACAGAAGGCAGGCAGGATGGTTGTTACGATATCTCTCAGTAACACATTATCCGACATTATTTTTCATTCTGTCTATATGTTATCTGGGTTTGAAAAGTTAAAGATATTAAAAGTTTAAAAAATATGCATGTCGCAGGAAGTGAAGACTTGTTGGTGTGAGGATGGCCATCTAATTCCGCTGACAAATAGACAGACATACGGACAGACAGTCAGAAAAATTAATAGACAGATAGGCAAGGCAGACGGACGGGCAAGCCAGGTAAACAGACAGACAGACAGTCGGACAGAAATAAATAAATAAATAATTAAATAAATAAAGACAGGAAGGAAGAAATACAATCATGGCTATTCCTTTCACCACACACAGTGGCATTACAGTACACATATATCCTGTAACACTGAACTTTCGCAAACAAATTGTTTTGAAAGGCATCGTTATTTTGTGAAGTGATTATTTACCAAACAAAGCAGTGACCTGGTCGGATGACAGTGGGGTTTGATTTGTAGCAATCTGTGTAATCAAATATGCGCCACTCTCTGTGTTATCTCGTGCTACAGAATCATGTGCCACTGCAGGGAAAATAGAGTAATAGAGTAAAGTGAAATCATTTAGTACAAAGTAACTTACTATCAATGTATTGACCACGCCCCAAATGTAATAATGAAATGCTTTTCTTATCTCTTATGGTCTCGTCCAGACACTTCATTACCTTGTTTAACATTATTTGTATATAGATGTCTCTGAGTTTAGAGGTAGACTAAATGCATGTGGATTCAAAGCAAAAACAAATGAACGTCGATTATTACAACAAAGGCTGGCGTATGATATCACAACGTCTAGTTTGAGAATGGAAGTGGAGGAAGTCACTGCTACCTTTCACTGGATTGAGAATCAACTGTACACAAATGTCGTAATTCTAACTGGCTCACAGAGTATGTTGAGAAAGGCTGACACAGGCATGCTCGATGCAGAGTAGCACGCATCGCTTCAGAGGTCCTAGGCAGTTAGCGTTCTTTGAATATTTTCTCCAGGTAATCTCGGTGCGCTGGGAAACGAGCAGGTAGATACTGGCCGGTTCTGCACAACTTGGCGGTGAATTGATACATGAAAACCTAGATTTGTGTGACGGCTTTGGGAGCGAGTGATCATTGTGGATCATTATAGTGACAGGAGAATGGCGCTGCGAGAAGTTACCAGGGAATCTGGCCGACACTCAACACTTGATGGAAAGGCGAGATGGATGTACAATCAGACAGTTACTGGCACCATCGGAACTGAAACTTTTCGCTCGCTGCTGAAGATGGAGACGGAGCACTTATGGTAGTGTCCTGAGTGCTATTGTGTCGATTCTTAATTGAACATTCAACATTAAACCCTGTTTGTTTCATTTAAAACATTCTTCTGCGCAAGGTCATTATTACAGGCACATATTCGGTTCTATTTTCATTTTAATTACGTTAGGTTCAAGTTCTAAGTAAACATTTTTTTTTAAATAATAATTTCGTCGTCTTTTGTGCTCGCCCCTAAAAGAAGGTTTTGATGAGGTTTACGTGTAGGCTGCAATGTATGCACTTTTCAACCCAAACATCCGATTTCAGCATATCCTTAATAAAAGTCTTTTACGTCATGCTTGTTGAAAGCAGACAGCCGTTTTTCTTCATCATATCATCAGTTTGCCACCTAATAATTGTGTGCCCTCTCCACAATGAATGTTGACTGCCCCACTCACTTGCAGACACCATACCATAACTGTGGTCTTCAAACTATACTGGCGTTTAATATAATCAAAGTATTTCATCTAAGAATAAGCGATGCTGTTTATGAGCCATTTGCTTTTTCTATTCATGAAGAACCTAAATATTCGCTCCTATTTTTGGTCAAGGATGTTCTAAGAATTTTCCCGTAACATTTATGTTGAAAAGCCTGGAATTTTTTCATAAGGGATTGTATGGTCAGAACACCGAGTAGAATAGGCTCACAGACGGAGATATTTCAGCAATGTTAAGCGTCAAGGTGGCCTGGAGAGACGGTGATGATGGGTGCATTTTTAGGAAGACGAAGCACAGACAGACTTTCGCGAAGGTTGATACACAACAATGAAGATGTATTGGCTATAAAAGCACATAGTTCTAAAGAACTGCCTACAGAGAGATTTGCAAGTGTGCAGCGACAAGAGAGATGTTCGGTAAAGAAACTGCTGATTGACGATTATTGCAAAAAAGTATTTTATTTCTGTCATTAGTTTTAGTATGTGTCATGTCTTGTTCAGATGTGACTGCACTACCGTATAACAGTAGCCGGTAAAACCCGTCTTCTGTTAATGCTGAATGTTGGGCGGCGTATACCAAATCTAACATCCTATATTGTGTCAACGGCTTCAAGCGGAGGAGCGCATGAGGGAGGATGCTAGCCTTATCATAGGAAAAGGAAATGCAACCTAAAAACTTTATGTTATGGCAGGGAAGACAAGGCCTTAGCCCTGGCTGGCAGCTAGTCTAAGAGAGAAGCTCCGACAGGCGGACAGATAGGGCACCATTCTTCTGATTCGGCAGCTTCTGCAGCCTGCTTTGTTTCAAACGTACTAGTGTTACCTTTAATTTGGAGTAAACAAGAGAGGTCAAGGGAGGGATCATGTCATGGCCAACATCTGGTCTATAGAAGACTGCCCATGCTTTGTGCTATTCAGGTGGTGAGCCATGGTATATGAGTCCCAACCCACCTCATGGCGCAATATAACACTTTCGTCTGGACATACGGAAAGTGGCCAATCAGTCAATAATTAATCAACTTTTACTATATAAAGCCAAATATTACATACCTTCATAGCACACCGCAGATTTGCCTGTCTTCAGTGCTGGGACAATGCTGTATACACGATTGATCAGGTAGTACTCAATACCCAGAGAGGCCAAGCTCCATATTGCCACAAACCCACATCCTATTTTCAGCCCCGCAAAGGTCATGATCTGGCCGGTCACTACTGGAGCTAGGAGTTTTGTTACGAGGTCAAGTCTTCGGAATGATGATGTCATCACTGTAGTTTAAAACAAAAAATTAGTTCCATCGATCAATCAAACTTACAGATCAAACTTGGTCATGTAGTGCTAGACACATATTTTTGTTGGTCAATCGCCACTCGATTTGTAATGTGGTCAACATCACGCCGGTCGCCTTTACTTCCAAGTACGCCACCCACCTGTACTATTTATAGACTGGGTCGACTTGCGAGTCAATGTTAATTTTAAAAATAATCCGACTAAACGGGGACTTGAACCTAAAACCTTTGAAGTGGCAAGGAAGTGTCTAGCCGCTATGTTTCCGCGGCTTCCCATCCTCACAATTGTATCAGTGTATACCTCTTGTCGCCCCTCTCGTCTTTCTCATTTAAAAATACAGTCTTGCTCACTGTTAAAGGACCCTTTTTACGCCAAGGGCGCCTCGAGCAAAGGATGCTAGACTTGGGTTTTTTAAATGGAGCAGTGTTAAACAACAAGGGTGCTTAAGCCATTTCCCTCTCGTTATGAATGTCGTGTGTTGATTTCATGGATTGCATTTTTTGATTTACGACTGCAATGCTTACGGAGATCCCTGACGATTATCGTTAGAGTTATGGAGTTTGTACTTTGTGCGATGCTTTAGGTAGATGCATAGTCGCTCTGCGCAGGCTGACCATGTCGTAAATGGGACAAACCTCGGTGTAATGGAGTATATCTTGTTCGTGTTAGGGCACATCAAGACGAACGTACCTGCCAGATGATGTTCATCTTTGGAGCACAGCTCCACAATCCAGTCTCTTTCAACGATAATAATCCGAGCTTCTTTCATGAGACGCGAACACACTGACAGGCTGATGATGATGGCGTAGAACAGATGACGCAGCCAGTCCTGCACATCCTCCAGTACTGATAGTAGTACGATGAGAGTGAGAATAACACAGGCACATACAGCGATCAGAACGTTCTGGAGGATCATAGACAGTGTGGCAGCTGTGGAGATACAATGTTGTATTTAATTTTCTTACAGACAAGAACACTATATAGGAAGACAAAGAAGAATATCAAACCAATGCAATACTTGTATCATCAGTCACTAAACCCTAATGCATACACTAAGTAGGGGGTGGAGTACTTGTGAATTGATTGATTTGGGTACAGTGTGGATTCAATCAATCAGGTACTGTCTCCACAATTCATGTTGACTGCAATGGATCTCTACTATGCTCTATCTTTTGTCTAGGTTGTACACTCTCTCAGAGTGCTGTCTGTCAATCTCTTGAGGTTGTCCTCCCACTTGTATTGTTATCTGCCTCTTGAACTCTTGCCCTCGACCTTTCCATTCAGTATGGTTTTTAGCAGAGTGTTATGTCAGTGACGATTGCCTGTCGAGCAACTAACTAACTAACCAGTTGACTAACTAAATTTATGACAGCAAGAGAGCATTACTTCCTGTCTTTCACAAGCTTGTCAAATGAAGTCCTCAGTCTTTATCATAGAAAGACAAGTAATAGCTTTCAGTGTCTATCAATGCTATTTCACGTGTGTTAGTGCAAGAAGTGTATTCAGTCAGTTGAATACCTGGGCTGAACAAGAATCGTTGTGCTGATATGCCACTATTAACTAGGCAACTACAATTCAATGCACTTTACTGTACTGATATTGAGTTTCTGGCTACATGTGCGAAGTATACTTGAATTACTACAGAAGTTCTACCGCAAAAAAGCTAAATGTGTCTTAAATAAATAGTGTGAGTCAGCTCTTTAAAATAAATCTTCAGTCACAGTCTAAATTCAATCACATTGACCTATCCAACAAATATAAACAGATGACAAGAGTTTTTTTCGCTGCCACCTCAGTCTTATTTCACAACCCCCTTGTTTTCTGTCGTTGACTCTGTGGCTAAGTCGATGCGAACGCTTAGTAATGCCGGGGTACCGGGTTCGATTCCAGCTGCGGGCCATACGCCTTGCGTTGGTTTCGACAGTGGTATCAGGGAGCCGACCGTCCAGGATTCAATGACAAACAACTGGACGTAAATTTGCCTAGTGAAATCACACAACAGCCAGGGGCTGATAGGGTTGGTTCTGCAACGTCCTGTAAAGGATACGCAGCTAACCTTTTTTGTTTTCTGTATCATTCAAAGTCCGATAATTTCTATCGAATGGTTGATTAATGTCAGCAAGAGGTAACTTTTATCTTTGCATGTACTTGTGTGGCATTAGTACAGACATGGTGGATTTTTCGATTAATTTTAACAGTAGATTTTCAGAATTTCTAATACCCGGGACATATTATGGAAGTGCTATGAAAGCAAGAGATAAAAAAAAAAAATGTAAATACACATAGTTCGGGTCCTAGTGAAACCGAACGTTCTTCAAACATTACGTTGGCTCCCAGGTGGACCCAGCCTTGAGTGAGTAACAGGTGTAGTCTTGGAAAGTAAAGGCAGACAGCGTGATATTGACCTCATCACCTACCAAGTGCTGATTGGTCTATAAAATATAGGTATAGCCCTATATGCCCTATTAATATATATATATATATATATATATATATATATATATATATATATATATATATATATATATATATGCGTGCATGTATGTGTGTACGTAGGTAGGCAGGTATAAACCAAGTAGTGCGTAAATTTTTGAAAAGCACATTTTAGTGAGGCTAATGTTGATAATCATATGAATTTGTGGCGTACTGGAGCTTTTACCGCATGCGTCTGCTTTTAATGTAATTAAAGACAGCTAAAAGATGTATCGTAGATCACAGAAGGTTGTGTGATATTTAGAGCACCTTTGAGCCTCGCAGTCTTGTCCACCCAGTCACCAATGATAGCTCCGAAGACTAGCACTGCTGCTCCCATGCACAGGCCGTACGTTGCGCTCAGATGTAGGGATTCCGGGGAGACTGAGATCAGGAACAGCCCCATAGAGAAGGCCCACATTCGACCTGACTGGGAACAAAGTAAGCATCAAAGTCAGACAGAATCGACTTCATCACACCGGGTTTCATCCTACATAGCTCGAACCGCAGAACGGTTAGCCGACTGTCGAAAACGTAATACAAAGGTGTGTAACAGGAAGGACCACTAGAAATTACTTTCAAGAGCTTGCTTTTAGGAGGTGATTTTATAGTGTTTTTGTTTTAGGTTAAAAAACAGGGCGGGTGGGGGTGGGGGGGGGGGGGTAGGGGGTGGAAGCCGACATGGTGTAGCGGCTCAAATATAATAAATGATCTTAGCTCCAAGGTCGACCTAAGCTTAAATTTGTATCAGCAAAGTCCTGGAAAGTAAGGGTAACCGGAGCGATATGAAACCTCATCACCCACTGAGTGCCGATTGGTCTTTACAAAAAAGTAATACCCCTGAAGGAGTGGAAAAGGATCCTTTTTATTTGTATGGCTATATTCAAGACTGTCAGTCGCTTAGAGTGACATTTTCTCCAGGCTGGCAAGTGTCTGGGAAGAACACAATGGCTCATGCTACAGTTCTTGGCTTACATTCTGTCTTAACAATGGCTGCAACTGAAGTTTTTTTTTTTTTCTTGAATACTAACGGGACGACCGGGAACTGGACAGATCATTGGAAAGAGGGGTGAAGGCAGACCGAGAGAGGTATGCTAGATTGATTTAAACAATGGCGAGGATGGATATCAAAAGAGGTACTCCAGGCAACCAGGGTTGGCAGGGCTCATGATGAAGATGATGATGATGATGATGATCGTCACCCTATTTCGGAATCAATAATTTCTTTCAATTTTTATGTATTTTCCTGAATCGGCCGCAGAGCCCATGGGAAGTGTAGGCAGAGACTTAAGAGCTACACAGTGCACCGATCTCCCCAGGGGGCTGCGTGGTCTCGGGGCATGGTGTAAGCCTAGCGTGCTAGAGGTCCTGAGTTCATGCCCCAATGAAGGCTGTGATTTGTTACGTGGACTTCTAGTAATTTTCCCCTGGTCTCTGGGTAGTAAGACCGGACGCCTGTGTATGTGGTAGCGCACGTAAAAAATCCATTTGCATTTGGAAATCAAAAAGAGTAGCTTAACGACATTGCCCGGGCAAAATTTGGAGCTAAAAATCTACCCAAAGTATTTCAGGATCCTCGCCGGTGCTACAGAGTTCGTGCACTGCGCTGAGATTCTTCGGACTCAGGCTTGAGTTAGATGAAGAAAATAGCACTTATATATTACTCCCGTGTGCCATGATGTTGATCTGTTGAATAAACATAAACATAAACAGTGCACCGGCTAGAAACCGCCACCAAATAAATAGCTGCACAGGTATAACGGAATAATACAGGTTCTACAAAGAAGTAATAACACAATGGAAGTATAAAATAAACCACCTGTTACAGAGGAAGTCTTACCAAACCCGCAATAGGATGACGGCTTAGAATATCTCATATAGGGACGTAGATGAAGACAACATGCAGAGAATGCGAATGCCAGAGCAAGATCAAGACATAAACTGAAATCCTTCTTGTATATGTCGTAATAGAAACCACACGCACAAACAACATGCAGAAAACCCGGCTCGACAGACACGAGAGGCTAGAACCACCAACAGTAAGAAACAGACAGTGAAATAACAGCATGAACAGGAGCCATAATTATAACTAATGCTGTATAGGAGAGGTTAGCTCCCTAGGTAGCGGTAGCGGTTGAACCTGGCCAATTCAAACTGATAATGATGATGAATGACGTAACATAAAAACGAAATATATTCTTAATGATGACCTCAAATTATTTACATATTTTTACCAAAGTACGACCATGAACAATGGAAAATAGATGATAATAACTAAAAGAAAAACCAATGCTTTTTTTCCTAACGCAAACAGGGGAAATCCACTGGTTGAGGAACAATCTAATATTTAAGGGGATGGTAGATAGGCTGCATGCAGTCGTGGGACCTAGGCTACATGCAGTCGTGGGACGTAGGTGGGTTGGGGTAAGGGCCAATTCTAGATATTTTGGGGTTTTTAAAAGCATTAGGAAGCCAGGAAACTTAGTCTTACCACCCTCGAAAAAGTTGGACTATCATGTGACGTTATCCGGGGTAGGATATTACAAAAGAACTGAAAAACGATAATAATAATAATAATAATAATAATAATAATAATAATAATAATAATAATAATAATAATAATAATAATAATAATAATAATGAAATTACGTACCCAAGAAGCCAAAAAATGACAACAGTATATAGAAGCATTCGCCCCTTGCAGCCACCTTCTGAATGTTCTCATTTTTACAGCGTACCTAAGGATGCAGATGAAAATTAAATAAGAAAATATGTAAATAAAAACTTGTTAATTCATGTCAATGGCGACCATTCGCTCGCCTGTCAGTATTTGGGTCTCCTTTGATCGAATCAACATTGCACAAATCCTCTTTATGGCTTGTGATGGCGTGCAATGCTAAGCCATTTTATGTGGCGCACATAACCTAGTCACAGTTATAACCTAAAGGTACCTTTTCGGGAATGCTGGTTGAATGTTACGAACACCCTCTCCCCCCTCCCTCTTCCCTTTCCCATAAAAAACTGGGAGGATTCACAACTTTTTTTGCATAGCTGTTGTAACTTTTCTATAGGGTAACTCACGAAGTCTGGTCCAGAAAGAGAATGACTTCCCTGCCATTCATGTTGCGGGGGTGTTACGCTTAGTGAGCGTCCAGCAACACAGCGTGTTGTAATCGTTGTTTAACCGGTCGGTGATATCGTCTGTTCGATATTCTACAATGTGAGCTCTTTTGACGGTCCCAAAATATTTAGAACTGGCTCTAACCCAAGCCCCCCTAAGCCACAGCCTCAGCCTGCGTCCCACGAAAGAGTGCAGCCTGCGTCTCATGACTGCATGCAGCCTATGACAACAACGCGTAGAATACGCTCTGTTGCTGGACGCTTACCAAGCGTGACACCCCTGCAGCAAAGGACAGGCCATGTGACGCGACCATGGATGAATGGTAAGGGAAGTCATTCTTTTGCTGGGCTTGACTTCGTGAGATGTTTCCTTTGGAGGCTGCATGGGGTATTTGGGATTAGCCCAGTCGGTCTGCCATGTTTAATCTCAGGGTGTCAAACCTTCTGGTAGTAGCCCTGTGGAGGAAAACAGGCAGTGAGTGTTTTTCTGACATGAAAGGTAGGTAGGTAGGCAGGTAGGTGGGTGGGTAGGTAGATAAGTACATTGGTAGATAGGTAGACTGTGTGCACCTTCGAGGATTAGATTCTGAAGGATGAACACCTCAAGGATAAGAATCAAACATAAAAATCCCAGAAGCCCCATTCAGCCACACAGCAGTTTTATTGGGGCGGTGGGGGGGGGGGCGGGGAGGGGTAGGGTGGGGGCTTCCAACGGTTACAAGTAATCTGATGTCCGATTCGGGCAGGGAACTTGGCATAAATGGTGGACACAAACAAATGAAGTCACATCTATCAGAGCTGCATGGACCTAAATGTCTAGGCCAGTATGCTAACAACCTGTCATAACACACGCATAACTTGTCACAGCACAGCTAACGTGCGCACTGATCTTTTAATGCAAAAATAAAAGTCGCTAGATTTATCTTATCATAGCCAATGATGTACAAGTTTTCACAAGGCAACAATGGCAAAACTCATTTGAATATAATGTTTTGCAATGCCAAATGTGACCAATGCATCTTGCCCATAACCCAGCTGACCTTCGTTCGGGTATGTATGTGTAGTGCGGTGCGTACGATTGCGCACGTATGCGTATGGTGGTGTTCCATTTACTAATATGCCATTTTGTCCACAACTTATCTATAGTTCTTCTTCTTCGCGTTCAACATAAACTCCGGCAGAAAAATGCACATCCGTTTTACATATTTGACTTATCTGTATGCAGATTGTTGGGTCCTTGCCTTTCAGGCTGATGCACTCCGACTTCGAAGCCAGCCCAAGTTAGTCGACTCTTACGACATGCTTTTGGGGAGGCATTGAGTCTATTCTGGCTTTTCCCTCAATGGGACCCTAGAACCCACACGGGGTGATGCCCTGCTTGTATCTGACCTCAAACAAAACAAACCGTCCTGAGCGTAACTTTTACAGTAGGTCTCAGCGCAACACAGTCGTCTGGTCTATAATTGTCTCTAACAGAGACCAACATATTGTACACTTTCTTGGTGTGCAGCAGGCAAGCCTTATCGGTGGCTTTTTGCGGCCCCTGGGCAGTAATTTGTTTAAGTACCCTCTTCCTTATCAAGACTTATCGACTTACTAGCATCGCTAGAGTCATACTATTTTAACGATGGAGCGCTAATATAATGAGGGTTTTCATAATGATAGAAAGACTCAAATGTCACCATGCAATTAGCGCTTACATTTTTCCACCTCTTGGTCCACTGGGGAAGAAAAGTCGCTGGTGTTGAATAGGACACAACGTGTGAAAACCTAAGAACAATATAACTAGAATGTCTTTGCCTTAGAAGAAAAAGGGGTATCTAAATAAAGGCAGACCAAAAACATACGGAGAAGGGAGATAAAGAATGAAGTTTAAAAGATGGGGAGGACATGGGGTGAGGTGCGTGCAGTAAGTAAAGTAAAGGACCCTTTTCCGCGCCTTTCATGCGTATTGGGTATAAAGCGCTAGAGCTATATTTAAGCGAAGGATAAAACAACCTGTACTGAGTTGGTCGAGAGCCTATACTCGAAAGAAAGCAGAAAAGGTTATATTTTCCCGCCCCCAAAATACTGCTGCGCAAAAAAAAAAAAAAAAACCTGTTAAGCTCTGTGCGGCTGCACACTTTACACATACCTAAATACAGGCTTGACAGAAAGTCTCAACACATAAAAAGTTATCAGGTATGTAACTTTCTTCGAAGCAATATATTGCAGCACGTCTTAATACAAAGCAATTTTTGCGAATATAACTTTCTCTTACACAGTATACCAAAGCACTTCTCAACACAAAGCAATTGTGATGTATATAACTTTTTCCGACACAATATATTATAGCATTTCTCAACACGTTGCAAGTGTGCTGTATATAACGTTCTTCAACACAATATATTAAAGCAGGTCTCAGCACAAAGCAATTATCTTGTATATAATTTTCTCTGACACAGTGTGCTATTGCATGTCTCAACACAAAGTTGTTGTCGTTATATAACTTTCTCCGACACAATGTATTATATAGCACGTCTCAACGCACAACGATTGTCCCCCAGGTCACACACATACACAAAATCATTACGTGTATATCTTTCTCCAGCACAATCTATACTTCTACAGGTCTCGAAAGAAAGTAAACATCCTCTCATTACTTTCCCTAATACAATATTCTTCCCTTGTGTGCATGCGGTCTCAAAACAAAGAAATTCTAGTGTGTATAACTTTCTCCGATACGCCATGTATATTTTTCTTGTGTACAACAAAAAGCAACCGTCCTGTGTACAACCTTGTTAAACACACTATATGTGACCTATGAACTATGTACACAGCGTGTGACTACCAGGCCTCACAATGTGGCCACAGGCAGTGTCTATGAGGTACACACACAAGCATGCATATATAATATAATATAATATATAAATGTATATATTGTACGTACTGCCAACCACAGTGAGAGGTGAATATATTTGACGTATGTGTAACCGGTCCCAACTGAAAGTAGCCGTACTGCATAAAACTTCTCCAACACTATATATGACATATGTACACAGCGTGTGTCATCGTCTGTGGCTTAGGCATTGCGAACACACTTCGTAATGCCGGGGTGCCGGGTTCGATCCCAGCTGCAGACGATTTGTCTTGCGTTGGTTTCGACAGTGGTACCGAGAGCTGAACGTTCACGAAGCAATGGTAAACTATTGAACGTGAAAAATGTGTCTAGACAAACCATAACAGCCAGAATATGCTGGAATTGGTTTTGCAACATCCTGTAAAGGATACTGAACTCCTATGCCTCACAATGTGTCCACAACCCCTTTCTATGAGAAAGATAGATATGTATGTTGTACTACGTACTGACAACCACAATGAAATGTAAATATATTTTACTTATGTGTAACAGGTCGCAATAGAAAGCAGCCGTCATGCGCACAACTTTCTCCAACACTACATATGACCTAAGTACACAGCGTGTGACTACAATGCTTTACAATACGACCACCAACCGTGTCAGTGAGGCACATATGTATACTGTACTGCGTGCTGCCAGCCACAATGAAAGGTCATCCATGTATGACAAAGTAGCCTTGATAGAGGAGGGAAAGACATTAACTGTCTGGCTGTACAAATCGGTGACATTAATAACCAAGTCATTATCATCATCAAGCACCGTGTCAGATGACAGGTTGCCAGTTGTATATAGCGTTCCAGTTCTCCCTTTTCTCCTTGTCTATCTGCATCGCTGGAGCCGGTGAAGTCTGTAATGACTAATTACCACGCCGACGCCGTCTCTGCGTAAAACAAATTGCTTATCCTTTTAACTATTTCAGTACCAGAAGATATGGTAGCCAATGCTCAAGGGGCAACAAATTATGAAAACTAACATAAAGCCAAACACAGAGAAAGAGGAGACTTTGGCAACCAGATTTCTTTGCATTCTGTGACCAAATTTAAACATGAGAGAGATTACAATGTTCGATGGTTGAGACTCACTAGGAGGATTCCATCACACACGATACGTTGTTTAGACTGAATGAGTTAAGCCACACAATTATTTTGAAAATACATCCCGGTGAGTATACCTCCACTGATATATATATATATATATATATATATATATATATATTTAAACACATTTAACTTCTGTGTTCATCATCATTGTTATCGTCATCATCAGGTGATGTGTCAATAAGTGAAAACTATCATAATTCGCCATTTCACACGATCATGGATCATGTCAATGTCCTTGCCTTACCTCCTCCACCTAAAGGTGTAGTTACTTTTCAAATTTGTAGATAGTATGTAATTTCTTCCCTTTCGAGGTAGTATGCATATAGTTATTTCTCGAACCTGTAAATAGTATATGATTAGTTAGTTTTCAAATCTTTAAATATTATTTTTAATGTACTTTTCCATCCTGTAGATATTAGCCATATAGTTACTTTTCGAACCTGTAGATATTAGCTATATAGTTACTTTTCGAACCTGTAGATATTAGCTATATAGTTACTTTTCGAACCTGTAGATATTAGCTATATAGTTACTTTTCGAACCTACAGATATTAGCTATGTATTTACTTTGGGAGCCTACAGATAATAGATGCAAAGTTTG